GCCAAACAATCCCAGTTCCTGCAACTGTTTATCATGCAGTTTAGCCTCCAGTCCCGTAAACAAGGAAGCTTCGAATAAATTAAGCCATAAGGCCTTTGAGTTGCCGGTTGGGGGATTCTGGGACTTGAAGTCCAACCCACACAGAAGGTCTCAGTTAGGTCCTCTGCTTCTACACAGCTGTCTGGTGAATTCTTTCCACCAGCTCAAACATCCTTTTGCCTTCCTTTCCTGATTCTACCTTCCATTTCAGGCAGATTAACCATTAACTTGGAGAACAAGACCGTTGAAAAGCATCTGTTTGCTGAAGGATGAGATTACGAGGAGGCCCAGCAGCTGAAGCTACTCTGCAAATGGTGGAAAAAATAGAGAAAGAAAAGCTGGAGAGAAAGAGGAGGGGAAACCATGGGTCTCGACCCCCTTCAAGAGGGGTGGACTTCAAGTCCCAGAATTCCCCAGCCGACATGTTGAAGTCCAGACATCTTAAAGCAAGGATCTTCCAACTTGGCAAATTTAAGACTTGTGGACTTCAACTCCCAGGATTCCTGAGCTAACATGACCAGAGGAGGAATTCTGGGAGTGGAAGTGCACAAGTCTTAAAGCTGCCAAGTTTGAAGGCCCCTGTCTTAAAGGATGCTGGCCGGAGAATTCCGGAGATAAGAAAGGCCAGCCATATTTGGCCAATGAGTTAAAGTTAAGGCTTGAATTTGAGTTTCGGGGTAAATCTCTTTGTTTTCATTTCTTTTTCTTTTTTAATTATAGGCAATCTTTTGTTCAGCAGTTTTATGAAGTCTACAGAACAACAGCCCTTGGAGGGAGGCCAGTCTGCGAAAGTATAATTAGGCCAAAGTCCTACAGAGCAGAGGTCGCCAACCTTTTGGACCTCAGGGACCACCAAACTCATTATTTTAAATCCCACGGACAAGAGACCCTGGGAAAATCCCCCCCAAAAAGTCTGCAGGAAAATTCCCCACCCCGTTTTCCTACCGATCAATTGTTCTTTATTTGGGATCACAGGATACCATCTCCAGTTCCGTTCTCAGGGGGAGAGAGAGAGAGAGACTTTTGGCTTCATGCAAGGAAAGCAGCAGAAGCCGCAGAAGTCTTTCTTTCTCTCCCCCAAACTCCGCCAGAAATGAGTCTTTGTGAGACTTGTCATGCCACCACAGCCTCTTGGAGCAGGAGGCCTTGCAGGGTCCCAAAGACTCATTTCTGGCAGAGTTTGGGGGAGAGAAAGAAAGACTTCCACTGCTTTCCTTGCGTGCAGCCAAAAGCAGAAGAAGAAAGAAGCGGAAAGAAGCAGCCCGGTGGCCAGGCCAGGCACGTGGGGTGCGTGGGGCAAGTTCCCCCCTCCTCCCTTTCTCCCCTCCCCTCTAGTGTTGTTCACAATGCAAGGTACGCAAGACTTGTGTTCCCATGGGCCATGTGGTCGGCACAGCCTTGTGTTTCCACACAGTCTGGATTAATTGCTTTGGGAGTGACATTTCTCTGAGGACCACCAAAATTTTCTCATGGACCACCAGTGATCCCCAGCCCACTGGTTGGCGACCACTGCTACAGAGGACTACAATCTTGAGTCCTCCCACAGCTAGTTCAACAGTCAACCTCCCAGAAGCTCCCACCTTCAAGGTTTGATTCTCTGGTTATTCTTGTATCACTAGACACTACACCTGAAACTCAAGCTAACAAACCAGAAATGTTGCATTCACCTGTTCTGTACAAGCAAATAAGTTGTGTGTTGGCTTAACATAGTGTTTCTCAATTGTGGCCACTTTAAGATGGGTGGACTTCAGTTCCCAGAATTCCTCAGCCAGCCATGATGGCTGGGGAATTCTGGGAGTTGAAGTCCTCACATTTTCAAACAGCCAAAGTTGGGAGACAAGTGATTTGATCATCTTCTATGGCAGCTTGGAGGATGTCAGTAGGTGAATCATTCTTCTGTTGTTGTTTTTCAATTTGTCAGGTGAAAAGTTGAATTTGTGAATCTCTTCCATAAATCCCCATTTTCCTATTGAACTTATCTTTGAGGACGTAGAGCGGTGTGTTCTCATCCAGGCTGAGGAATTCTGGGAGTTGAAGTCCATACTTCTTCAAGTGGCCATGGCTTAACCTGATAGCCTTGTTCGCACCCATTAACACAATAACTATTTTCCATAAAGATGAATCCTCAAGTACCCATCCTTATTTCGGCTTGTTCTGCTGCGTTTCGCAAAACCATCCTTTTGAGTGAAGGTGAATTTTGTAGGATCAGAGGAGATGTCAGCATAATAATGCTACGTTCAGCCGGTTGCTTGAGAAGACACTTTTGATATGTTTTGCTTATATTCTTGTTTAATTTCCACTGCTCGAAAGACAGGTTTCTCCAGAGCCTCTAACCAGATTCGGGATTTCAGTCTTTCGGAGTGTGTTTATAATTTTTGTGTCTTTTATTTCTGTAGATAATTTTATAATATGCTGATAATTTTATGATATGATGTCACCATAGTATAAAAAAAGATGTTGAGACCCTGGAAAGAGTGTAGGAAAAAAGGCAACAAAGAGGATTAGGAGCCTGGAGGCTAAAATGTATGAAGAATGGTTGCAGGAATTGGGTCTCTTGAGTTTAATGAAAAGAAAGACGAGGGGCAGGGGTGGGCTGTTGGGGGCTCGGGAGAGCCCCTAGCTAAGATTTTGCAGAGCTCGGAGAGTCCCCAATAACTTCAGAAAGACAAGCAGCAAGGGAAAGCTCTTAATAGGCTTAATTGAACTTCTGGGCATTCAGCCAAGAGCATTTCACACCTAGTAAAAGTGTGGCAAGCTAGATAAACAATCCACTCAGCGCTTGCCAGGGAGAGCCATTGAGAAAATTAGATAACATAGCCACTAGCCTCCAAGGGGATTAATTTCCAAATAATAAGAATCACGTAACTCACCAGAAACTCCACGAAGACTCCAAGATCCCTCTCACAGTCTCTGCTATTAAGCCTGGTTTCCCCCAGTCTTTTATTTAAGTATTAAATTAAATGCACAAAATATTAAACAACTTTTTGGTATATTATCTTTTTTCTAGGTAATTAGGGCAAAGAAGCGACGTCGAGTTGGCCACACCCACCCAGTCACATGACCACCCAGCCAGTCATTAGGGCAGAGAGGACTTTGTTAAAAAATTTGAAGCCGACCCCTGACTAGGGGTGACGTGATGGCAGTCTTCCAATATTTGAGGGGCTGCCACAAAGAAGAGGGAGTCAAATCCAAAGCCCCCGAGGGCAGGACAAGAAGCAACAGATGGAAACTAATCAAGGAGAGAACCAACCTTACAACCAGAGAGAAATTTCCTGACAGTGAGGACAATTAACCAGTGGAACTGCTTGCCACCAGAAGTTGTGAATGCTCCAACACTGGAAGGTTTTTAAGAAGAGATCTGGGCAGCCGTTTGTCTGAAATGGTATAGGATTTCCTGTTTGAACAGGGGGTTGGACTAGAAGACCCCCCAGGGTCCCTTCCAACTCCGATTTTTTTTTTTATTGTTGACTTTATGTAAAATAAATTAATTTAAAAACTCCGCCTGGGGAGTTTCGATGCAAAAGATGGGGTGTAGGTAAACTGCCTTATCTTTGCAGGTAAAATCAACTCCATCCCCATGTGAATATGAGTGGGGAAAATATCTGAACTCCCTTTTCCTATTCTTTGTGTGGGTGGCTTAATAAGTAATGAGAATATTTAATGTCCACGTGGGACCTGTTTTTCTTCTGAAGTCTGCTTTGCATATCATGATCTGTTCTCACATGGAGAGGAGGTGGCTTCCAGGTGAAGGAGGCAGATTCATGGTGGGCCTTAAGCAAGTAGGGCTTTAAGCTTTAGGCCACCTGGCCTTTCTCCATGTGAAGAGATGATGATACCCAGAGCAGCTTTTAGAAAGCAAAGCAAGTGCATTTAATATACTATCTAGTTACCACTAAGTGGAACTTTATTCCACGTGAACCTCATAGAACCTTGAACTAGAAGTATAACAAAATAACCGAGTTGGGAAGGGATCGTGTAGGTTTTCTAGTCCCATCCCCTGTTCAAGCAGTGTTAGGAGTGATAGTCACCTAACAGTTGGGTTGGAAATATATAAACCAGGGTAGTAATTTAATACTGTATCTTTAAGAGAATGCTGTAATTGTGATTGGCTGAGGTTCCTCCAACGGCCATAAGATGGAGCCAGAAACTTGGTTTCTTTCTTCTTGCATTTCCTGTTTTGCCTGATCGTCGTTCTGCTTGGATTGTTGTGAGTCTTGCAACTGTTAGCAAACTCGGTTTACTGAACTTTGTTTATGATACTTGACTTCGTTTTTGGATTATTCCTGGGCTGATACTAACTGCTTTAACCATGTATGATTTGGACTGTTTTGGGGACTTTGTTTACCCGTTTACCAGAAGTAAAACCTACATTTTACTATTCAGTGTATCCGTATACTGGTTGTGTGTTATTCAACATCACTCTCACTACGTTTTCCTGAGTGCACTCATTCTCCTAACGGGAAATACCTCAACAAGCAGTAAACTATATACCATTTCAGGCAAATAGTTGTCCAATCTCGTCTTAAAAACCTCCAGTGCTGGAGCATCCACAACTTCTGGAGATCCTTGAGGTTATTGGCCCAAAGAGAAGAGAAACCCATTCAATCTCTCGCAACCTCACGACTTTTGGTGACCCTTCAAAAGCTAACTTATGAGAAGAAGGGACCATTTTAGAAGTTGGTGGTCCAGGACCCTTCTCGTTGAGTTCAGGGACTTGATCCTACAAGCAAACTTGAGTTTCTGTAGGTGGGAAACCATGTCTAGATCAGCCTTCTCCATTCATAAAAGCCACAATGCCATCTTCTCCAGTTAACACAGCCCTGGGATAGGTTGGCTGCTGAAGAAGCGATGGAGCTGTAAGCTTGGTGGACATCAACTGGGGAAAGCAATGGCCCAAGCTGGTTTGAGGGGTGGCATTGCTTTGCTCTGATCCTTCCTCTCTGCTGTTTCCTTCCAGTTACATGGTTCGGGTGCGGGCTGTGGTAATGACCCGAGACGACTCAAGCGGCGGTTGGGTGCCCATGGGTGGTGGTGGCCTGAGCCATGTATCCATCTGTAAAGTCCGGCACCCTGACGAAGGGCAGCGCCGTCAGTACCTGATAAATGGAGAGCGCCTCCGGGACCAGACGGTGAGACGGATAGCATGGGGAGATGGTTGCAAACCAAAGAGATTAAGAGTACATTAGAAGACCCTTCCTCTCCTTCCATGGCAGGAGATGATAGACCGTAGGGGATGTTACTGTCAACTCATAAAATATTTATCTGGTCTTTTTAAGTTGCCAACAGAAAGGGAGGGGGGAGCAGTGTAGCAGCTTGCAAAACCGAAACTGCATTCCATAAATGTTTACAAAAATAGTAACTAGGTGACTGAAGTTTCTGCCATGCAAATATCTAACCAGAGAGCATGATTGATGACTCTTGGCTATGGATGTGTCCCATTGGAGAATATGAATTATGATACACCCAGGGGGTGGGGGAAAACTGGGTCAAGGGTGACAATGAATTATGTGTCTCAGAGTCGGCTACACCCAGGCAGCGCTGAGCATGTTAATTCCCAATAAATCTTCTTTAAGCTTTGAAAATCCAGCTAGAGACTCGTGATTTAAATGGGGGTAACTGTTGGAATCCTGACAGTTATCTTTAAACCAGTAAGACTGCAACAATCCTTAGTTCAGGATGTTAATTTTTGCTCAGGTGACTTCCCCGTCAGCCCCAGCCTTAATCTTAGGGACAAAAGTCAGCCTTTCTCCACATTTAGGTCAATGGGATTTGGGGTGGGGGGAAGGTATCATCCAATCGTTCTTCCCATCATCCACTCTTCCCCCTCGTCCTCGTCCTCTTCCCTGTCCTGCAGACCATCTTGGAGTGTACCTTGAAAAGGGACCTGGTCTACAACAAGGTGAACCCCATTTTCCACCACTGGAAAGTCGGAGATAACAAGTTTGGCCTCACTTTTCAGAGCCCTGCAGATGCAGTGACTTTTGAGAAGGGCGTGCAAGCCGCTCTGAAGGAGATCACGGAAGGTGAGGGGACCGTTGGGGAAAACTGGGATGAGGTTTGAGGGTTGGGGGGGGGTGTGTGCTACCAGGCCATGCATCTTAATCATTGTAACCACGGCAACTTCCTGTAAGCCCGTTAACAGTGGGAAAATTTTGGTTTCAAAGTTGACAGCATTCATCAACTTCTAGGTGTTGTTTTCTGAGTTCCATCAATTCCTGAAATAGGAGTAATTTGTAAAGAAGTTGTAGGGTCACAGTGATTACTACAGAGAGTTATTGAAATGCTGAGTAACAGCACTGTCTTCCACCAGGTTTTGCCTTATTCAAAATGAACACAGAAAACACTGGAGAATTTCTTGAAGTAACTTAAACAAATTTAGGAGTTCATTCTGGAATTATTATTATATTATGCTTTATCGCACAGTCAGCCAGATGTTCAGACTGGATTTGGCATATTTTTCCATTTATGAAGCCCTTCTGAAAGACCCGGGATAGGCAGATGTGGATGTTTGATGGCATTAGAGGTGTCATCCCAGGATGTATTATGTTGAGTAAAGCTGCCTTTTGCAATTGACCGATGGTGAATTTGTCAATGCCGATGGTGTTCAAGTGGGACTCCAGTTCCCTTGGGATTGCACCCTAGGCACCTATCGCTACTGATATTATTATTATTATTATTATTA